GCACAAAACTGGCCAGTGGAGGTTACATGACAAGATCGTTCCATCATGGGCTCCTCCAAAAGATCCCCTAATCAAGGTACATGTTTAGGTTATATGGTACAGCATTTATTTGTAAAAGTATCTTAATTTTTTAGATGCATGTATCTTAAAGCTAGAGCAATGTTATGGTTTTGGCATCTACTTTTTATCTTGGGCTGGATAAAGTAGCTTGATTAATATATCGTACTAAATCATAATGTGTTTTATTTGGTTTTGAAATAACGTGTGAAATGAATCATTGTCAATTAGTTATCTATGATTTATTCAATAAATATTGAATAAAGCAAGTATAAAAGTGGCTCAGTTTAAAGTAAGTCAGTTAGCTGATGGTAGTATGCTAGCATTTTCTCAACATCTACATACATTATTACAAGCCTATTACAGGGTTTCTGCCAATTTCATGCTTTCCGGGTTCATGGAATTATAGATCCTCACATTCTCTTCTAGCATAACCAGTGAACGCTGGCAGGAACATGAAGTACTGTAGTTTAAAACTTTAGAGGAAACTACTATAGAGAGTCAGGAAGGTGTTGCTTTTGCTCACACCGTATCCCTGTCCTGTACACATATAAACCTTAGGCAAGTCATAATCTTAAAACCTTAGTTTCCTGTTTAAATAATGGCAAAAATATTTCAGAAATTTTGACTGAAGAAGCTCAACCATTGGGAATAAACTATTTTATAAATTATAGGCTTGGCTGGGAATCCACATCATTATTCAAATCCAAAACCAAAGAAATTGCATTATGTTAATCCAACCAATGTGTTCCAACATTCCGAGCTTTTCCCAGAGTTTTGCGACCTAGTCCTATATTTTAAGTCAGTTTTTTAAATAAACAGATGCTTATGTAGTGAGAAGTCAATGCAGTTCCTTCATATTTCATACTTCATGAGATTTTGACAATTGGGGCATTTATTTTCTGTTTTCTTTTTTCCCAACTTTACACTTTCCAGACTGTTATGATCCCAGGACTAATCCCAACACCTTCAGAAGCATAGGGAAGAATCATCAAGAGGCGCCAGATCCACAAATGGGACAAATAATAAGACCAAAAAATGAAACAGGAAGGCAGAATTGGATATGTTGGGCGAGCTTCTTATGTGTAATGACTCTGGTTAAGTTGTGAAGTATATATCAAGCTGTATGATCCCTACATTACTCCATTTTTTAGTCTTCCTTGCTAAAATAATTGATGTATACTTTGCAATATTGATTTTATATTGTTTCTTTTTGATCAATAAAGTAATAGATTTTAAGATATAAAACCTAATAAAATTTTAGTTCACAATCCACTGGAATACCAAGAGGGTCAGGAGCTTTCTCTGATTTCATAGATGTAATGATAGTGACATCTATTTGATACTACCATCTGTTTGAATTAAAAAAATATGGTCCTGAGATAACTAGTAATCTCATGTTCTATATTTTTAATCATCTATCTCATTTGTAGATGATTTAGAAACTATATGATTTAGAATAAAGTTTTAAAATATTTTAATAGGTTCGAAGATTGCATACTCAATCCTGTTTTAACTAGTGCAAAAATGGTAAAAAAAAAAGTTTTGGAAATACCATTAAATTTGTGTTTAGCAGGTACCAAAATTCTGTATCACTCAGCAGATAGATGGGAGACATACATTATTCAATTCTTAAAAGAGAGAATAAAAAAAATAAAACTCAAGCTAATAGTTGCTTCTTTTTATAAGAAGTATGTGCAATAATTTAACCTCAAGAGGCTGCCTTAGCAGTGTCTTATCTTCAGTGTGAAACCAAAGATTGGCATAACAGATGCTATTAATAACAGACGCATAACAGAAGCCAAATTCACTTAACAGCAGCAATGATTCACTTAACAATCATGGCAAAAAAAAAAAAGTTGTAAAGTTGGGTGCAACTCACTTAAAATTGCCTTGCTTGGCACAGAAATTCTGGTCCAGGTGTGCTTGTAAGTGGACAACTATCTGTAACTTAATTTTATTTGTTTATTTCATATATGGCATTGTTAACATTAGCCAGGAGACTACAATGCTAATGCAGAGTAGTGGTTTTGCTGCTTGTTTACCAGATGCTAGGTATATGTGTGCTTCCCAAGGTGTGCCGCAGGAATCCGAGCTAGCTTCGCATCACAAAGAAAGATGACCGGCTTTTCTTGCAGCAATATCCAAAGCCTTCTCCCTCCATTGGAGCCACCTCCCAAGTGGGTGTTTCAACTGGAAAATTTCAGTGCCAGCAGGATTCTAACTGCCACAAGAAGCCCCTGCTCACCTTCCCGCCAAAGAAGTATCTATTTATCTACTTGCAGACAACATGCTTTCAAACTGCTAGGTGGGCAGAAACCGAGGTGAGTGATGGGAGCTCACCCTGCCATACAGTGCTAGGGCTTGAACCGCTGCAGCAGAAACCATCTCCAGCATCATTAAACTATTGAGCCATCACATCTCCTGTAGCTTAATCATAAAATGTGAATGAAATTACTCGCATACTGGTACTTATAAATATTTCCACTGTTATATTCACTGGGAAGCTTATTCATGGTAGATTTGCATTTATCCCTGTCTCTATGTGAAAAAAGTTCTTAATCATAGTCTATGATCAGTTTGGAAAGCCTCTGCCAGCAAGGTGGGTAGATTTATATATATTCGGGTATAAACTTGAGTGAATTCACAGTAAGCAGCATATAGTACAAACTATTCAGATATAAACAAAAGAGAAAAGAATATGATAAGATAATTTGTGATTGTTCAAATCCATTCTGACAACCATTTCATGATCATGCCCACAACATGCTTCCCAAACATATCAGACATGTTCAAAACATAATCTACAGTTTTCAGAGAAAAGAAACACTGCAATATCAAAGTCAGCATTATAAAAAAATTCCCAACCCCATTAAAATATACAAAATGAGATACACATTCTCTTAATATATAGATATATTTTTATTACTATATGTACATTATAACAGATAATTTTGATATTCAGTACAATACAGAGACAAAGTGTCCTCACATTTGACACACTGTTAGTAGCACTTTCTAAAAGTACATCAGACAACTCGGAGGAAGTGCAGGTTCAAAAGGAAATTTGGAATCTTAGGTTTATGATAAAGTAGCCAATACTATGTATAGGAAGATGTCTGAGCAACAAAACAATGGCTCAAAAACAGTTTCCTCAAATCTTTTAACTCAGTGAGGGTTCTTAGTAATGGATCTGTCTGTAACATTGAGAAGTCTGGTCTTCATAGCTTCCTAATCTTTCCTTTATGAATGCTATGCGTTGTTACTTTGGGTTCACATCTTCTAATGAAGAGGAACTTTTGATTCAGAATTCAGAAAACAAAACACACTAATTCAAGCGCACTACTAACTTTTTCATGAATCTGCAACCTTTGGCATCACTCCTTGTGCTCTACCATTGAATGATAGTCCTCTTTGGGCCTGAACTATAAACTTTCCCCACATAAATATAACCGAAATAAAGGAGCTACCTTTAAATTGTTTCATAGCTTACCCATAAAGAACTTTTGTATAATTGTTTAACTGCACAATAGGCTATTGCAGGGGTCTCCAACCCCTGGTCTGTGGACCGGCACCAATCCGCGGCATGCCAGAAACTGGTCCGTGCAAGCAAGCGAAGCCCCATCTGCAGGATGCAAGCAGCACGCAAAACCACGCCCCCTCCGGTCTGCAAAAAAAACCTCCGTGGAACCAGTCCCTGGTGCCCAAAGGTTTGGGGACCAGAGTGCTATTGCATGTATCAAAAGGAATACAGGACATTCTAAAAAAAGGAAAAAAAAGGGGGGGGGGTTTTCCTAAGTCCTGTCACTAATTTTGGCATTGCTGAAAGCTATTTGATGATTGTTGCAATTTACTACTATTTATACTCCCCCCCCCCTTTGGGGAAGAGTTAGGGTTAGGGTTTTTCCTCTGTTTTTTTCAGAAGATTATAATGAAGAACTATGTTTTAAAATATTTTGTAATGTATATTTCCTGCCCTTAGCAGGTTTTTGTTATTATTGTTTTAGCTTCTCCTTTTTGAAAATACCAGGTTTCTGAGTGCTGTTTGCAACAAAGCCAAAGAAAATACTGCATAATGTATATTGCCTGCCCTTAGCAAGGAGATGGGTGGGGTTGTTTGTTGTTTTTGCTTTTGAAAAATACTAATTTCCAATATTGCTTGCAACAATGTCAAAGAAACATTCTCAAGAGTATGCCCTCTTGTGGTTGAAAAGCACAGGTATCCAGATCATTAGTTGGGTGATATCTTTAGAAAGCTTTATGGAAAAAGAATGTTGAGGCAGGAGATATCAACATAAACTCTGAGAGTCTGGAAATATCAGTCACTTTAAACAAATTGCTCACAAGAGATCTGGGATAATACAGTATGCATAGGATTTATACATAAGATTAAGCTATAAAATATTTGGGGTTACTGTAATCTACACACTGGATAAATGACTAAATCATAGTTTATTTTAGGATAGAAAGCCACCATTTGAAACAATTTGAAACAATTTCTGATTTGCCTATTACAGATAGTCCTTGACTTATGACCACAACAGGGATTGGGAAATTTCTTATTTATTTATTTATGAGACTTATATACCGCTTTAAGTGCAAGCACTCTCTAAGCGGTGTACACCAGTAAGCAATGTATATATATATATATATATATATATATATAGGATATATATATATATATATAAACAGCTATAAACCACACATTGCTGCTCAAAGCAAGAAGCTAAAACACCAGCCCTGAAGATGACGCATGTGACTCGTCGAAACGTTGCAAGACACTTCCCATTTTACGCGGGAGAAAACCCGAACAACCAAAGACTATATATATATATAAATATATATATATATATATATATATATATATATATATTTACATTGCCCCCAACAATCTGGGTCCTCATTTTACCTACCTCGGAAGGATGGAAGGCTGAGTCAACCTTGAGCCGGTGAGATTTGAACTGCTGACCTGCTGAACACAGTCAGCTAAAGTGGCTTGCAGTACTGCACTCTAACTGCTGCGCCACCTCGGCTCTCTCATTTAACAGTTCACATTATTAAGCAATGTGGCTGTTAAATGAGGTACCACATGACCAAACCCAATTTTCAAACCTTTTTTTGTTGTATTGTTAAGCGTCACATAATTATGACTTTCCCTGCCAGCTTTCCTATTGACTTTGCTTGTCAGAAGCCAGTTAGGAAGGTCACAAATGGCAATCACAGCAACTATCTGTTACAAAATGTGCAACATTTGCCAGGTGCCCAAATCACAATCACCTGACCGTGGGGATGTTGAAGCAATGGTAAGTGTAAGGACCAGTTGTAACACACTTTTTTCAGTGTTGTAACTTTGAATGGTTGATAAACAAATGGTAAATTGAGGACTGTCAGTACAAATGTATCTTACCTGATTTGTTTCATGCCATGTCCAAGTCTCTAATAAAATCCACAGAGACATAGGGCAAGGACAGCTTTTAAAAAAGAAAGAAAAACAAACCAATATCTCCTCCACCACACCTGACTTCTTAATTAAAGATAAAACTCTGTGAACTGATATATGAATATAGTTGGGAAAAAGGCATTGATAGACAAATTGGCAAGCCCAAAGAAGAATGAGATAATCTAGGGATGGTTTATTGCAGGAAAGAGGGGAGTGGGATTGGGGATGGGTGGGAGAGGGGATGTTTGCAACTCATTCAATAAATTATATTAAAATCAATTCTTAAATATTAATCACACCAATAATAGATATTTAAAAGCTATACAACACTTCCAATAGTTCAAAAAGCCTGTCTAGTTGTATAGAAGTTTATAGAATTTTTGTAATAATTCTATAAAGCGCATTTCTCTTTCCCATGTTACAGCTGGAAAAAAACTGATGGTAAAGATGGTTCATGAGTCCCCCAATCATGAAACAATTTAATGCAACAAGGCAGGTAGAACCCAAAACTTTTGCATGTGTTACATGACTCTTATTAAAGACTATATAAGGTTTCATTAAGAAACAAAACTTAGCTAAAAGTCAGGATGGTATTATGCAGATGGACTAGGCCTGTCTCTCATTGGTTCTAGAACCTAGCAACCTAGAACTAAGGAGAAACTTCCTGACAGTGAGAACAATTAATCAGTGGAACAGCCTGCCTCCAGAAGCAGTAAATGCTCCAGCACTGGAAGTTTTTAAGAAGAGACTGGACAGCCATTTGTCCGAAATGATGTAGGGTTTCCTGCCTGAGCAGGGGGTTGGACTAGATGACCTCCAAGATCCCTTTCAACGTTACTTCTACTATTATTATTAAATATTAAGGAATATATACAGAGTTGTGATTTGTTTAACCACAAACTGTTACATAAACAGCAATAAATTGGGTTTGCTGATCAAATTAAGCCAGAAAACCTTCAAATCACAATGGCTGGATTCGTAGGAAGCAAATGACATTTTCCTATGCAAATGTGATAGGACTCTGCCATAGAAAAAAATAGCTCATTATAATCTTTATAAAAATGAAACAATTATAATTATTTATCATTTGTTACGTATCTGTAATACACAGTTGTAGGGAATCCCTGAATATATTCTAACTTGTAAGTTCATGTAATGCATCAATTAGAGTATAGCAGCCTCCCTGCAATTTATGATTTATGCTGTATTCAGTCCTTGGCTTCTTAATTTGGGCTTTGAAAGTCACCTTCCTGAGTTTCTGAAAGTTTGCTTGAACCTGTAGACCAGTGTTTTTCACCTTAGTAACTTTAAGATGTATGAACTTTAATTCCCAGAATTACACAACCAGCACATAGCATGCTATAGAATAGATCAATGTTTCTCAACCTCAGCAACTTGAAGTCTACTGTATAGCTATGAGAATAACCTTGAGACACAGGAGGAAGAACTAGAGTCTAGATAACGATCTGATAAAATCAGCCTAAACCAGAATGTAGTTATAATACTAAAGAGTTTGTTTTCCTGGTCTGGACTACCTTGCAGAGCTGACAACCTCTTACATTGATGATAATGCGAACCATATGTATAGAAATCATGGATCAATGATCTGATTTCAGAATAGGGCAGCTTCCTAAGCAATATCCAGCATAAATTGAATTAGCATTACAAAATACACTCCTGGATATTTTTTCAGTCCTCAGGATTTCATAGCAGGCATGCCAACTTGGAAAGCATTTTCTCCAAAAGTAAAAAATAACAATAACAGCCTCTATTTGAGCCTGACAACATTTTGGCAACATTATGAAAGTAGTTTCTCAGAATATATTTAGTTTTGTTTTTTTTCAATTTCAAAGTCTAGCTCTGGGGCTTCTTCCTGTCTCCCATGCAAATATTATACAAAAAAACAAAAACAAAACACCCCTCCTTGGGCCATGAGCTAAGGGCTATAGCTTGAAATTCAGACTTCAACCAACAACAAAACCTATGCAGGCTTTCCTTTGTGCCTCCAGGCTGCTTGTGTTTTCTTTAATTTTCTCTATAAATAAACAGGAAGCTTGCATGCTTCAAAGTACCAGCCTCTTCCTTTTTTTAAAAAAAGTCTGAATGTCTTTCAGTCCCACATAACATCCATACTTTTAGAAAATAATTTGGTTGGTTGCGTGCAATAGGCATACACATTTAGCAATGAAAAATAAACTGGAGAGCAATGATAGTACTTTATTATCAGTTTGCCCCCTACACAGGCTCCCTAGTCCCTTTCCTATTTTGTTACTGTAACTTCCTGCCACAGCAGCTACTTTATAAACGGGCAACCATCCCCTGGAAGTTGTTTTACCAATGTCTGGGGAACATGATGTCAATATCCCACTGCCCCAATCATGTTGGTTTTACTTATAGTGGAAAACCTGTAGTATATGGATCATGTCACATTTATTCTAAATTAGTTACTTTGCTGTGGGTTTCTTGACTGATTTAAGGTGCTGATTTTAGCTTTTATAGTTTTAACATCTTAGAAGAGTAGACTGAATGGGGCTGAGAGATCTGCAATCGAAGCTCTGTTCTCTATCCTAATGGTAAACAAGGCTAAGCCTTTCCTAACAGCAATCACCTTTTTTTCAGTGATAGGTCCGTACCTTTGGAACTTCCTAGGCAGTTTCCAGGTATAACATCTACACTCTTGACCTTTGGAAAAACTCCCTCAACATAATTGTATTCCATATTTCCATATTTTATTAAACTTGCAAACCATGCTGTAAAGCCAGTGTATTTTAGAAGGTTAGTGAAAAATCTTTTATGTAAATAATGAACCAATAGGTAATATTTTATAAAAAAGAGAGAGAGAGAGAGAGAGAGAGAGAGAGAGAGAGAGAGAGAGAGAGAGAGAGAGAGACTCCTTGATTGTGGCTATTGCCATTATCCCCATTAATGCATGCATTAACTACTGCTACATGCAAATGTCCTTGCCAAATAATCCCCTTGTTTAAAGCCAATTTTCAGTGGATGCTTTTCACTGTGAGTAGATTTGTTACTTAGATGTTATGGTTTACAGATATTTGATGTGCACGGTTTGCAGTACCTGAAAGAATACACAGAGATCTGTGTATTACATGTTTGCATACAAAAACAACGTGCAGGTTTTCACAGGTAACTTTGGCTATTCTGCAATTAAAGGCAGAATTGTACAACTTTTGGGGGGTAACAGAAATCCTCCTGTCTGACCACAGCTTCATCATTCAGACTTAGAGTACATTTTCCCTAACAATATATAATGAGCATTATTACCACAACTAATAGATGTCCTTTGTTTATTTTTTTTAATTTAAAGGTGGGTTTATTTTAAACCATTTTGCATCCAAGAAAAAGTTTTTATCGAAGCATCCAAACAGGTTCTTAGTTTTGCCCATTCAATTGTAATCTCAAGGACAAATACTTGACATGACTTTGCTAGGATCTTCTGCTTCCTGAGCCTTTGGTTTCTGCTCTGTTTTGCTTTGGGCTATCACAGCAGGCATGGAACTGACTTCTTCTGCCTCTCCTAAGCAGGCTTCTGAGCCTTTTTCATGGGTTTTTGCAGAGTCTTTTCTAGTCAGTGTAGAACCTTTGTATGCTTCCCAAGGGAAGGCATTGTCTATGAAAATGTCTTCTCTGCTTTCTGATGAAAGGATTTTGTTTATATCTTCTGACTGTGCCTTTGGAAGACTGTGACTCAAAGACATGTGCCCAGCCAAACCCTGCTGCACACTCTGGGTTATTTCCCCAGTGTTTGCTGATACCTCTGTTTCTTCTTCCCATGGACAAATCTCTTTCTTATTGAATGACTGATTGGCTTCTTGAAGGGAGGTCATCATATTTTCTGTACCATCAAACGTCTTTGAAGAAGTGCTGATTTCCATAATATCTGCAGCATTTATGCTCTTCCATTGGAAATCAGACTGTAGAGAATTGCTACTTTTTTCCAGAGGTTCTGGTGTTTTAACAGAGCTTCTTGAATCAGTTTTACATACTTCAGCTTTCATAATAGCTCCAGCTTCCTGCATTTCCCAAAATTCTGTTTTTAGGCTTTTAGCATTGTTAGGTTTTATGGATAGGTCTAAACTTTTACTGCTGGGTGTTAATGAGAGTATGCCAATATTTTTCTGGGAAGAAATTAAAGCTTGCTGGCTATATGACTTGAATATTTTAGCTGACATATCTACCCAGACTTTCTTTAAGCTTGGGCTTGTCAGCGTTTTGTCTTTTGAAACTTCACTGATACCTTGTCTTAATATTCTATTATTGCTAGATTTAGGTGCTGTTTTCATGAGGCATAGTTCAGTCTTCCCACTGGATTCCACATCCTCAACTTCCCAAGGACATATTTCTGCTCTTTCAATATTCTCTGATTTCGTTGAACTATCTTTGAGCAATGTTGGCCTTTGGCTGCTTATTTGTGCCATGCTCTCCCAAGGACAAATAGATTCTTGTGGGCTGCTTACTTCCTCTTGTCTCTTAATCTGCCTTATTAAAGGTTTGGTATCTGTTTTATCATTGGAAACCTGGTCTGACTCTTTTCTAAAAGAACTTTCTTCTGCTGGTCCTACAAACTTAGCATCTGTCTGAAGCTCCTGGAAATCCCATGGACAAATCTCTGCCTTTACACTCTCAACACTTCCAGTATTTTTAGAACTAACTTGCAATGGATGTGGGCTTTGGGTGCTTTTTGTAGTTGGTTCATCAATGGTCATAGTTCCTGAGGAAAAAATAGATCCTTGATTACTTCTTGACATCTTTATTTTTTTAAATGCTTCTTTTCTCCAAGCTTTATTGGAGTTTGAACTTTTAAGTGCATTACCTTCTTTCTCTTTGCAAAGCACAGCTGAGACTTGCTTTTTTATTTTTAATGAGCGCATGGCTTCAGTCCATGGAGATATTTTCACTTCTTCCGAGGTTTCCCATGGACAAACATCTATCCTTAAACTTGTAATACTATCAGATTTCTTTAAGTCACTAATGTACGGAGCCAGACTTTGGTCACGAGATCTTGGCAAAAGTTGCTGAAGCTCTTTGCTGTCCCATGGACAGACATCTTCCTGTAAATTGCTTAGATTTGCAATTGCTTTGGACAAACTCACTGGGGAAGTACTTTTGCAGTCCTCATCTGCTTTGGAGGCATTTTCTTTAGTCACTTCCCAAGGACAGACTTCTGCCTTTATGTTCTCTGTGCTATCAAATTTCTTTGAAGGGATTTTGGAAGGTATGCTGGGATCAACACTCTCCCATGGGCAGACAGCTTCCTGGAATTTGCTTACCTTTTCTAATGTTTTAAAAGGGCTTGTTTCTTTCTGTAAAATAATGTTATGACTATCCACACTTTCCCAAGGACATACTTCTGCCAATAGGTTCTCTGCACTGCCAGATTTGGGGGAACTTAGGCATTTAACATTTGACTCAGGTGACAGTTCATCAGTATTCAGATTTTCACAAAGATCACTTGTCTCTTGTGAGCTACATGCCTTTTCTGGATGCTTAGATCCAATGGCTACAATCTTTTCGGTTGCTCTTTCTATATCCTGATTGGAAGGACCCAACATTTCCCAGGAGCAGATTTCTGCTTTATTAGCAATTCCAGTGCCTTCAGCTTCCCAAGGGCAAACTGTTGTCTTTCGGTTTTCCAGGCTTTCTGAACTCTCTGAGGTGAATTTGGAAAGACAAGTGATCTTGGGTGTAGACTTGATCAATAAATCTTCACTAATTATGTTCTCCCATGGACAAATAGATTCCCTCTTCTGATTGCTTCCTTTCACAAATGCTTCTTCTCTAGTTCCTTTTTTTCCATCTCTGGAAACTGCAGTTACATTCCCTTTAAGTTCTCTTTCTGATGTTGAGGGATCCTTATTTTCCCAGGGATTTACTTCTATTTTGAAATTTGGTTCCCTGATTTCCCAGGGACAAATATCAGCCTTGTCTGTTTCTGAAACCAACAACAAGAGATCAGGAGTTTCATTCTCTCTATTTTGATCTTCTAGTCTATCTCTGGGACACACAGATCCCCATTGGTTCTTAGTCTTTTCCATTCTGACAGGGGAGATCTCCTTAGCACCTTTGGAAGCTGTTGCTGGTAGATTGCTCACTCTATCCTCAACATCTTGATTCCTCTCCCAAGGACATAACTCAAGATTTCTGTTTAAATTATTTTTCTGTGAGCTAGGAGAAGCTTCTTCTTCCTCATCCCAAGGGCAGATAGTTGCTTGTTTGGTGATTGGCTTTGCCCTGCTATATCCAGGACTCCTAGAGGGTACTTCTTGTCTTGATGATCCTTCGGCAGGGATTAAAGCTGTTTCTGCCAGCTTGGGCTTTCCACTGATGTCTTTCTCGTTTTTGGCTTCACTGTCCTCACTGTTCTTTTTGGAACTTATGCTTCTCTTTATCTTTGAACGGTTGAATGCTTTAATGGCCATACCTAAGCTCTTTATGGAGCTTTTGGGAATGAGGGTTTGCAATTGTTTTTCAGGAGAACTGTTTTGATTATCCAAATCACTCACCTCTCGATCTTTCTTGCTTGGAATGGGCATTTCCATAACCTCCCAAGGGCAAACTTCTGCAGCAATGGATGCTAGCCTGGTTAGTTCCACTAGAGAAGAAGATGGCACCTTATCTTCTCCTTGCATGGTCTTTTCCATTTCAGGTTTTAGTGGAGAACCCTCTTCTGTTTCTCTTAGATATATATTGTCTAGTACTGGAATATTTGGGGGTTCTTTTTTAGGAGACTGAGCAGGATGTTGCTTTTGATTGTAATTATCCCAATGAGCTACATATTTTCTTTCAAGATTGTGAATCAAACTTTGTTGCCTGATGGGTGGTTCAGGTGGTATCTTCTTAATGGCATGGGCTCTTCTCTCAGGCAAATCAGAAATGTTGATGCTGATGCTCCTGATGGGAGCAGGTGTTACATCCCTCTTATTATTTCTGCTTTCTAATGGTATTGATGGGTCTGTCTCAGCTTCCCATGAACACATAATGTTTTTGCCTTCGGGAAAATGTCTCTCAATTCCTTTTGCTGTATTCTCTGTCTGCAGCTGTTTTCCCTCTATTTCTGAGACTATATCACTGAATTCAGTGTGTCTGGATTCCTCACTTTCTGTCATGGTATCTTCCACTGCTGCATGTGTGTCTTTTTCTTGGGCAGGTTTATGGGTATTTTCAAAATTAGCAGTGCCAGTTAGCAGAGAGGCATTTTCATTTTCACTGCTGGCAACATTAAGAGATTTCTGCAGAGTGTAACACTTGGGATGCAGAGATTTCTTATCTGCTAACAAATTGTGAGCACTGGCTGATTTGTATACCAGAGTGGCTGAATCAACAGAGTCATTGTCAGATTTCTCTGAAGCTTTCATGGCTAGCTTTTTCCTCATAAGTGAGTCCAACAAAGGAGCTTCTTTGCAACTGTCATGTCTGGTTAGTACACTGTTTGCCTTAATATCTCTCTGGTGATCATAGGTACTATGGGATTTCTTCAGTGAAATCCCACCTTTTGCTTGGAAGGCCACTTTGTGCTTGGGAGATAAGTCCTCCTTCAATTTCATGCTTAAATTTCTGGAGTCCGAGAATATTTGTTTATAGGAGCCAGAATGACTTTGTATTCTTCCACTGATAGACCCATCTTTTTCCTTCTTGCTGCATTGGCGGGACATAGATTCAGGTAACTCGGTGATACGTCTCATCAGAGTGTGGCCTAAGGCCCTCTTTGAACTTCTCTTCTTCTGAAGGTGAGGGTTGTTGGCTGTCATCTTCTTGGTCTTGTGAAATTCTAGCTGCATATAAAGCTTTTTCAATTCATCCTACATGTTATGTGCAAGGGAAGGAGAAAATACAGTGAAGGACAGGGGAGCAAGACAATAGAAGAAAAATAAAACAGCTTTTCAGTCAAAAGCATAATAATAATGAATTATGTCCACTGGATGGAATGGCAACCTGTCTGGGTTTACCAAAGTATTTTCTTTTTAAATGGTTTTATCTGTATACTTAAGATGGCTCTTTATTCCAGGATTAAGTGAAATATTCCTGCCATGAATCCATGATACTCTTCTGGCCTGACTCAGGGTTTGGAAATGGGGACATTTTGCTTTGATGTTTCTTCTTCCTCTATTTGGTGTATGTGTATGGGGTGAGATGTGCAGCCCTAGACCTTGATCTGTAGGTCTCAGCTCAATCCCCATATCTATCTTCTACATAAAGTTACAGAAAAGGACAAATGTTGGCATGGGATTAAGTGTCCAAAATGAGGATAATATTCAGTTATGCATCTCTGCCTTGGACTGCTCAGGTCATGCTAGTGAAATTGCTTCTCCATGCCTGGGTGCTGTGAGAGTTTGGACAGAAAGGACCAAGTTCTAATTCAACCCTAGCAAGACTTCCCCCAGATCTGGACAATTTCCATTTGTTAACTTTGGATGGGTTTATACTCCCCCAGACAGAGTTTATGCACTCAGTTTCTGCTCAAGAAGCAGGTGGCAGTAATAGCATGAGGGCCTTTGCATAAAGCCAACTTGTGTAGCATATGCACACATTCCTGGATTGGGAGATTCTCTCATATCTTAATTATTTCCCACTTGGACTGTTGTATGTGTGGCTGCCTTGAAGCGCATTTTGAAACTATAGCTGGCCTGACCACGTACTGTCATTTTGTGGACTGCACTAGCTTCTAATAGTGCGATCTAGGTTCAATCTAAATGCTAGTTATCACCTATAAGCCCTACACGGCATGGGGCCAGGATATTTGGGGGATGCCTCTCTCCAATTGTTTCTATCCATTCCCCCAGATCCCTCAGGGTCAGTATGTACCTAATTCCTTCTTTGTTGTGGTGCTTGCCTTGTGCAACAACCTCCCACTTAGTTTTGGACAGCCCCAACCCCACTGGTTTTTTGGAAGAATAATTTTTTTTCTTGTTTTCATATATATGTTCCTGTTTTAGGATTATTCGCCACCCACAGTTACTTAAATTGGCATAATACATTGATTGTTTGATCAATAGATGGATGACAATTTGCAGAATTACAAAATGTAAAACTGAGAAGAGGCTTAGCTGATTTGGGGGTGTGATAATGGAGAAGTTGAGTTCTGGCAGTTTGTAGCTCATATCAGCAACAGCATTTAATCTCTATGTGATTCAGAGCAGGAATTAGCCATGAAAGAAAGGCTTGTCCCAGGAAAAGAAATGGTTCTCATCAGTTTAGCAAAAATTCAACTTTTCTTCCTCCAATCTTCCCATTCCTCATAACTTCTACTCCCATCTATAACCAAACCTTCAAGGAGAAACAGGAAGCTCAGTTTATTGCATAATTACCTTCCCACCCTTCTGCAACTAGCATTTATTTAGGGCAGTGAAGGATGGTCTTTTTTTTTTTTGCTGTTAATTTGCTTCAGGAGAAAGACTGCAAAAGGGAACTCTTACTCTGCACTGTTTCTGGCATAGCTAGCATCAAAAGAAGGTCCTGAGTGTTCCACCCACCCGAATGTCATCGGGATCAAGGCTGTGCTCGCTCCTCGTTGAAGTGATGCTGCTGTTCAAGAAGGATCCTGAATGCCTAAGGTCCAACTCATCCTCATACATCTCAGCAGCAATTTCTTCCCTCAAGGGTGAGCCTGCATACAGGAACTGTTTGGAAGAACATAAAAGAGCAGATGTTGAGTTTCTTCAGGGAAAGATAATGCAAAATGTTAATTTGAGATCCCTGATCTGTCTATAATACACAGTGATGTAACAGTGTAAAGTTGAAGCCAATTTCTGCTACTTCATGTTCAATGCAACACTACAGGTTCACACAATATGGAAAGCTACAAAATATGATCTACAAGTCACAATGGTTGGTGTCATACATCAAACTCAAGAAACTATATTGTGGATTAGCTTATTTGTGTGAATCCTGTCTATAAGAGTCTGAAACTCCTCAACGTTGGTTTTTTTTGGGCCACATTGGTTAGGAATAAAATTGTTGAAGTCCAACTGTTTGAGATAATTCAAGGTGTGTATGTTGTTCAGTTTCTTACCTTAAAATCTTTGCTACTCATTTTGGCTGGAAATACACAATTTATTATGTCCGTATATTGCATTTCCAGATTTAAATGATAGTTTTATGCTGAATGGCTTACCTAATACAAATAGTCCTTGACTTATGACCACAACTGAGCCCAACATTTCTCTTGTTAAGTGAGATAGTTGTTAAGTGAATATTGCCCCATTTTTCCACCTTTCTTGACACAATTGTTAAATAAATCATTGCAGGTGTTAAATTAATAACATAGGTTACTAAGTGATTCTGATTTCCCCACTGACTTTGCTTGTCAGAAGGTTGCAAAGTTGATCATGTAACCCTAGGACACTGCAACTGTCGTAAATATGAATCAGTTGCCAAGCATCCAAATTTTGATCACATGACCACGGGGATGCTGCATTGATTGTAAGTGTGAAAAACAGTCATAACTCATTTTTTTTAGTACCATTGTAACTTTGAATGGTCACTAACCAGACTGTTGTAAGCCAAGGACTTCCTATAATAACAAAAACCTATCTCAAATTATTTCTGCCCACGTTATATGCTCTAACAGGATAGACATGTTCCAGGTTTCTTTCTAGAAGTAACATTATCAGATGGGACTTGGGAGTCATGCCTTCTCTATATTTTGGAATGATTTCCCCAAGAAATTCAGCTGGCCCCAGCCTTATTGGTCTGTACAATGTCTTTAAAACCTTGGTTTCCCCCCAGAATAGCCAGGATGATAAATGAGATGTCAGCTCTTCGAGGTAATTCAGACAGGAAGCACTGACCATGCAGACTAAGACTGCTTTTGCTGTAAAGTTATAGTAATAGAATCCTGCAAGCCTGAAGTACAGGTAGTCCTCGACTTACAACTACTGTTGAGCCCCAAATTTCTGCTGCTAAGCAAGACAGTTGTTAAGTGAGTTTTGCCCCATTTTACTACCTTTCTTGCCACAGTTGGTAAGTGAATCACTGCAGTTGTTAAGTTAGTGACACGGTTGTTAAGTGAATCTGGCTTCCCCACTGAATTTGCTTGTCAGAAGATCACAAAAGGGGATCACTGCAACTATTGTAAATATGAGTCAGCTGCCAAGCGTCTGAATTTTGGTCACGTGACCACAAGGATGCTGCAACAGTTGTGTGAAAAATTGTCATAAGTCACTTTTTTCAGTGCTGCTATAACTTTGATCACCAAACAAACTGTTGAGGACTACCCAGGGTAAAGCTTTTTCCTCCTTTACTTTTAACTATCGCAGAAAACTGGGATGGTCATACTGTATCTGAGATGCTTTTTCTATTCCCACCACATACTTGGATTCTGGTTTTCTTTGTCTACAATTTTTCTTTCTGTCTCCCAGGATCAATCCCATAAATATCATTTGAGGTCATCTTAAGGAGTTAGTGCAGTGATGGAAAACCTTTTAGAGACCGAGTGCCCAAACTGCAATCCAAAACCCACTTATGCATCATCGGGTGCTGGGTGGGTGTGGCCCATTGGGTGGGTGTGGCCCATTGGGTGGGTGTGGCTGCAGTGATAATGGCAGACTGGGTGGGACTAAAAAGTTCAATCAATCAATTCCAACTTTGCAAGATCTTTTCCCACGAGAAGTTGAAATTGACTGATTGAATTTTTGTTTTTGTTTTGCACACAGCAGCGGAGGCCTAAAGTGAAAAGGTTTTATAAAACCCAGCTGAATGCCTAGCACTGGGGCGACGGCATGCGTGCCCACAGAGAGGGCTCTGAGTGCCGCCTCTGGCATCCGTGCCATAGGTTTGCCACCACTGAGTTAGTGCATGTATCAATGGGCCCTGATTGTACACTGTCCGTATGTTGACTTTTGCTGTGCTTTTGTTGATATTATTGGAGGGGGACAGCTGGTTCACACTAGGCTGGGCGGTCAAAGAAATCTTCTACATAAATAAATAACACTCACTCCCACCCTCCACATTTAAGGCATTAAACCTTTGCACAGCAAATATACTGTGCATTCTTACACCTTTTAGATTTTTGTTCCTGAAAACTATATTCCCTAAAACAGTGTTTCTCAACCTTGACAATTTTAAGGCATGTGGACTTCAACTCCCAGAATTCCACAGCCAGCATTGCTGGCTGTGGAATTCTGGCAGTTGAAGTCCACATGCCTTAAAATTGTCAAGGTTGAGAAACACTGCCCTAAAACAAAAGCAAAATAGAAAAACGGAAATTGAACAGAACAGTATTACAACATCTTAAACCTGGTTAAATTTTGGGGGTGGAAGGAGTGGAAGAAAAGAAGAATAGAACCTTTTTGCTTACTTTTTGTAAAGATTCATCCTACCTTTGGGATGAAAATAAGTGCAAGTGTCATTGTGGTAGTGACATGAGTATGAATGAAAAATAGTAGTAGTGTCCAGTCAGGATGCAAGGAAGGAACCATTAAAAACCTGAAGACAGAAATGGATAAGATGGCATGGTAAGATGCACTGGAGATAGAAAATGATTGGAAGAAATAGTGATATAGTATGTATATTCCTTGTCAGAATTGTGTCAGACTAAATTTGAAAAAAAGAAAAGAAAAAGTAAAAGCAAGCAAAATTATCACTCTTAATTCTAGTACTTGTTTTGATACAATTTAATATTTAGTCTTCAGAAGTCAGGCACAAGGAACAAAAGTAGCTCAGTTCAAGTCGTTCCTTTATTGTAAACTCTACTGAACATAGGAATCTCACCAAATCTCACCTGCTTTCCCCTGGGAAAGTCAGATACAGACCTAAATGTTTGACCTCACTGGCTTCCTCCCACCTACAAAGTCCAGACTGGCATATCTCTCAACTTCCACTGGGCCCTCCTTTCTTTCAACTGTGAATTCCACCACATTAGATAAGCACTTCACATGCAGGAATGTAACAATCTTTACAATGCCCCTCTCCCTCCTACCTCCCCCACCCTTCCCGTAGGTGTGCTAAAAGTTCACTCAATCTGACAACAGGCATTAAAAAAAAAAAAAATCTCTATTTGCTGGCCTTCTTCAAAAATCACCTTGGCCAAATTAAAAACTGAAAACTGAGAAAAGCTGGGGAGGGTATGAGATTAATATTGTGCCTACTGAAAAGAATGCTTTGCAGAAAACATTCTCTATAAATGGTAATTTTAGCCAAGCAAAGCACATTGCAATTTTAATAATATCTTCTCCAAGGGATATTGGAGAAGTAACACTACTAGGAAGAGCATTTTTTAAAAGTTAAAATACTTAAAACATCTAACACTGCTAAAATATAACGATGTTAACATTTAATTTACTGGTTATTTGGTGTTGTATTATTCCTTCTCAGTATGAATGCACCTTCCTTTCTTCTGTACATAAAATTGTTCTCATTTAGATTGTTTTCAGACTTTTTTCCTTGCTATCAAAAATAAAAGCATGAAGTAGGTGCTATTATTCATCCAGATCATGTTTTTATGAAGTTCATAAAAATCTAAACACATTACAAATGATCATTGAATATATCTTTGCTGAATCATTACTTTTTAAATAAGTAAACTGAACAGGAAATAGTTATTTTTAATATTTTTGTTTATATTTACACAGACTCAGTTATAGAGTGGTTTAGCATGTTGCTTTGGAGCACCTGTCTTCAATATTTAAAACAGATTTTTTTAATGCAGTCCAGCTGCAAACAGATCCAGACAGATATTCCAGGCACAAGTGAAATTGTCAAAGCATGTTTTTACAATCCTGTCCAAAGTATTATATTGCTCTCCTCAGCTATATCACTATCTTTATATCTGTATATCTCTGCTACAATACACAGTCATAAAATCTGTAGTCAAATTATTATTATTATAGTAAGATGTTTATTATAATTTTGACATTGCCAATCTCTTCACTATTAGATGTGTTTTTTTCACATTCATCAGCACATATTCATCAATATCTTTTAATATTTTTATTAATTCTATAATAATAATAATGTTATAAATTTGGAAACTGGGAAACTGGCCCTGTTCATTTTCCATGATGTGACTGCCTTAAAGAACTGTTGTGCTCATGCTCCAAAATGATCTTAAGCGCTCCTTTCAACATTTTTTTAAGTATGCACTCTTAGTTTTCATCTTTTCTTTTACTGGAATTATACTGTGAAGCTTTTTCAGATGAAATCCTCCTCTTTAGTTATTATGAAATGAATATAATTATTCCAAAAGAAGGCAGATTTGCTTCTCTTCGATCTGTCTCCTTGTTAAAAGCGGATACTATGATTTTAAGAGCTACTTTAGTCCACAGTATATAGGTAATTCTTCTGACTATTGTCCATTCCATACAGGGCCATCAAGACTGTTAAAATATCAGATTTTTAAATTAGTGTTCTTCCTCTATATGATTCTCATATTCTTCCCCCAAAATAGGAATTTGAGTGTCCCATCTACAAATAGAAATTTTAAGAAAAAAGAACTGCACATTGCACTGACATGTGCTTAATAAGGATTTCCCCTTTTGGAAGCAATTCATTCTAAATTCTGAGTTAAATATTAGTGTTCCCCCAAAGTCACTTTTCAATTGGAGGCAGGTCTCAGCAGAAGCACTATTGTGATTGAGATTAAGATCTCATAGTGGCTGACATTTCAAGGGTTTAGCCGCACAGACACTACACAATAGTTTGTACTCAACTTGGAAGAAAACTTTAAAGGCAAAATGACAAATATGAATCTAACTACAATCACCCTGCATTCTCTGGGTTCGCCCAAAGCAAAAAATGTTGCCTAATACAAAAGAATGGATATCAATTTGCAGACAGTTAGGAGCTCTCTTGCTTTGATCAGGGAAACCTAAAGAAATCTTTTGTCCCTGTTAAATATCAGTATAATCTTGCTATAGCAAAATATTATAGGATTTTGGCTTATTTTAACATGGAGCCTGGAAGGAAGATGCCAATGCACAGGGATATCTGCAGATTAGGATTAAAAAAGTCAAAGTGGCAGTTGCAACTGCATTCTCAAAGCCTCCTTCCTTTTTTACCAGTATATGCCAGTTTATTCACTTTCGGGGCAGATTTTGTCCCTTTTGTTTGGGAACTATATGCTGCTCTGCTGTTGAATAATTGACAGGAATAACAGAATAACAGAGTTGGAAGGGACCTTGGAAATCTTCTAGTCCAACACACACACACACACACACACACACACACACACACACACCCGCTTAGGCAGGAAACCCTATAATCATTTCACACAAATGGTTATTCAATCTCTTCTTAAAGACCTCCAGTGTTGGAGCATCCACAACTTCTGGAGGCAAGTTGTTCCACAGGTTAATTGTTCTAACTGTCAGGAAATTTCTCCCTAATTCTAGGTTGGTTCTCTCCTTGATTAGTTTCCATCCATCACTTTTTGTTCTGCCTTCAGATGCTTCGGAGAATAAGTTGACCCCCTCTTCTTTCTGGCAACCCCTTGGCTATTGGAATTTTGTTATTAGATCACCCCAGTCCTTCTTTTCATTAAACTAGACATACCCAATTCTTTCATATGTTTTAGCCTCCATTTCCCTAATCACCCCTAATCAATATTTGTCACCTATATTTAGCTCCAGTTCTGAGTAAGTACTTTGGCATTCAAGGCAAATTCTATTTTTCATTTTTTCTTGCAAACCATTAAACCATGTTGCTTTTAATGCTGCCAAATTCTGTTTCAGAGCTTGTATTGTTACGACAGAGATAGTAAAAAGAGACAATTATTTTCACTGTAACTAGAAACAAACAAGGCAGTATATAAAAAGTGTGTCTGTGTATAAACTACAGAACTACTGAATTATTAACTCACTATGCAAAAATGTAAAAACACATAATTATAAAATAAAGAATAACTTATACATACACATTTTATTTTATACCTTATTTTTAATTATGTTTTTACATCTTTGCAAATCTAGTTTAATAATTTAGTAGTTTAATCTTAAATATTTCTAGTACCCTTGTGGTTGTATTTTATTGCTCCATTTTATTATTTCCCTTATGCATTTCCATGTGAGCTTTGTAACAGTAAACTATTGTAGTGAGCACTCAGATAAATATGTTATGTTCTAATCCAACATAGACAAAACCAGCAAATTTTATTGTCGCTTTTTTTGGATATTAAGGAAATTTTTCATGTGGTTTTCCACAGCAACTTCTGCTTTGCTTATGATATAATTTTCAAAGCGTTATCTATATTTTTTCTGTTTGTATTAACATTTATGTCGTGTTACATTATTAAACATGCTGTTTACATTTCTTTCTAGTTCCTTCATTTGCTATAATAAAAATGCAATGCCCTACAATGTAAACAGATACTTTTATCACTCTGATTACAGATGGAGCTTGCAGTAGTTCTTGGCTAGAGACATCTAATTATCTTTTGGTAGACACAACTTATCAAGGACTTTTGTGGTCAGTGTTTACTCTTATAGCTCCTGGGAATCAAGTAATGCCAGCATCTCAAAATATTATTGCCTTGAGCCTGTTCTTTGAAAAAGCCCCTTTTCTCTTACCTCACAACATGAAAAGCGGTGGAAGTTATCAGCTCATTGTGGACAGCAATGCACATGTAGCGAGGTTCATGGAAAGCAGAAGGGATTCTTCGAGAAGTATAGCAGAGAAAACTTCCCCAAAACAAGAATAGCATTTCAGCTAGACAGCAAGAGATACAAAGATTAGCAGAGATATGGTATTATTCTTCTCATAGTTTTCTGTATTCTTAACCTTTGCCTCTAGATGGTATATTGGAGGGATGGATGGATGGTTAGAGAAAGAAAGGAAGGAAGGAAGGAAGGAAGGAAGGAAGGAAGGAAGGAAGGAAGGAAGACAGACAGACAGACAGACAGACAGATATGGGATCATATTCAAAACCTGCTAGGAAGACATTTCCCATCGTTCCATCAGTTGACTCATTTCTGACCTGAAATGGTTGGAGTTGACAAAATTCTGAGAAGGAACACTCAATTGCATATCCAGAGATATAATTCTTCCATTTAACTCATCATATACTAGAAATGAAGTTCTATACCACTGAAGCATGTACAAATTATTGTTCTGCTAGTGTCTGTAGTCACATAACTATTCATAATCATCTCAGTGGCAACTCAAAGCTGAGGATATGTATTGCTGTTTATTGCTGCAGTAAACTATAGAAGCAAAATGTTGAAAACAAAAGAGGCATTATGGAGGATGGAAGGAAAAGAAAGAAAAGGAATAGGATGAATGTGGAAAGACAGAAGAGAATAATTATTCAAGGTGAGAGGATATTTAGGAAAGAATAATGATATCATGATTAGTTATAACTTTTGCCATTGTGCTTATTCTGAGAAAAAGAAGTAAATGCAGAATCAATGGGTGATGAGTTTAGGAAAGTGAGAGGTCAAGGATAAGATGAAGAGAAGAAAAATATACAATAGAGACTGTACAAAGCAAAAGCCAGGGTTAATTATTATTTATATAGAATAAACAGATGTCAGCTGCAACCATGTGATCAAAACTCTAACTTTCCTGTCACATGACAAAGATCCTCACCCACAGCCATCATGTAATCCCATCGATCTTGATCACAGGTGTAAAACTGGAGACCCCTGGGAGTCTGTGAACGGACTACCAGCGGTATGTTTTTCTCAATATTCTCCAGCATCCCCACTGTCCATGCAGCCAAAAACCAAAGGACCAACAGCAGGATCAATGCCAGCTTCTTTAGCACTCGCCCACTGGTCATGTAAGCAACTCGCTGAGCCGTGTGAGACAGAAATACCTTTAATATCCTGCGGGACAAGAAAACAAAAGTGACCTGATCTAAAGAAACATTCTCATTCTTTGCAAAATGAGAATGATTTACAGTATTCAAGTACATGAAGGAATTGGGGGACCTATGCAATCAAACATCTCTAAACGGTTTCTGCAATGCATTGCTACTAGTTGCTGGTTTAGGTACTGCAAGTTAGCTTTAATCGTTAACAATTGTTCTTTAATTTTGGCTCTTCATTTTTTTAAAATAATCTTTTGATTAATCTAGAGACTATTGTGAATCCTTCTAGTGGAAAATAAAATTAATAAACAAAATTAAAATAAGCACAGAAAAAAATCTAAAAATTGCAACAAATAAATAATGGACATTAAGAGCTTAAAGACTGTATTAAACTAGCATTTAATCATGCTGGACGTCATTCAGAAGGTTTGCAAAGCCTGAGAGAGAAAAAATTGTGCTCAAGATAGAAGACAAAAAAATGGGTCCTGATTGGGATTTATATACATTTTTTAGCTGAATTGATAATTTCTTCTTCAGAGGAAATTACAGTTCCCAGGAAGCCCTGGAAAAAACAACACAGTTAAAATGGTATCAAATCAGAGTAAGCACACAATATAATTTATATGAGAAATATTTCTGGCACTTCTGTAACTAATGTAGAGCCAGTGTACTGGATTAAATGGATCACTGGATTTAGAGGGATTGAACAAAAGAGGGATTCAGCTGCCAGTATTCGTTCTAATCACAGACTTAAGAAAAAAAAAGTCCAAGGTTCAATCCCTCTATTTCATCCAACTTCATGCAAAAGTCTCACCTATACAGTTTAAGAGTGATTGTTCCATAAACAATGGCAAAACCCAGCATGCGCACCCATCGCAGGACAATACAGCGGAAGATACTTGGTTTGAAGTACAAGATAAAGACCTGCATGAGAAGGAAAGGCAAACAGAGTGATGGATAGACAAGGTTTCTTTTCTCAGAAGGGCACTGAATTGGGGGGAAGGAAGAGAAGGGAAACCTAAATTTGATCTTGGGTCTGAAACAGACTATCTTTGCACAATATGCTCGATTAATTGACCATGATTGATTTAAAAAATTCAGTTCTTTGAGTCTGCACTAAACTATAGATTAAAGCAAAATATGATTCAAGCTTCACAACTTGGCTTTCTGTCCTTGAGCTATTGATTAATTGGATGTCTCAGGACTATTATTCAAGGTAGATTATTCTAATAAGCTTATTTTTTCATAAATGTAATGTTTATGAATGTTAAGATTTGTATTTTTCATAGTTTATAATCATCAGCCTATGTTTGCATATTTGCATGGTTCTGCACCACTTTTTTTTTTTTTTTTGATGCATTCAAGTCATTGATACCTTCTGGACTAGTTCCTTCAGTTTTCCTTGAAGATTTTTTCTGAAATGGTTGCCATTGCTTCCTTCCTAGGGCTGAGAATGTTTGTTGGTCCAAATTCACTCAGCTGGCTTTGTGTCTAAGATAGAACTAGAACTCACAATCTCCCAGTTTCAAGCTCAGTGCCTTAGCAATTACACCAAACTGGCACTCAGCACTGCATGCCTATGCTAAAAAGATAGTTCAAGAAGTGCAGCAATTTATCCAAAGATTGGTTTAAGCTCCAAAATGCTGCCCGATGTTATGGAGCTTCTCTTTTTTGTCTCATCAGACTCTGGCTCTACTCTCAGAGGCTGCCATTTCAAGCACATTCTTTGCCTCAGCTTATCCAACATACAGTACATGTTTTCCTTTGGACAGCAGTATGTTTAGAGCGCAGCCTAAACCTGCTTGTTTAATCCCTTTTCAATTCTCCTTCCTGTGAGTCAGGGCGCTGAAAATTAGTTTTCTTTCCCAGGAGTAACTCACACTGAGATGGTGAACCAAGCCATATTCATTTTTCTGGCTTGTGGCCCAGTACTATTGATGTACCTCAGATAACTGAGCCCCTTTGGATCCAATCCAGATACTCACAGGAAAATAGAGCAGGAGTGAGCCAAACAGTATTGTCTCCAGAAGAATAACTCCTGAAGCCCGAATCCTCTGGGAAAAGAGAAATGAATGTGAAATGATGGTGCTTTGAAATGAAGATTGGTGATTCTAAGATGGTGCAAATTTTCAAATTATGCAAAAAATAAGGGCAAGTAATAGAGCAGGACAGCCATTTTATAAACCCAGGTAATGTTCTACTGCTCACCATGGCCCGTACCTTGCTCTTCCTATAATGGTAAGAAATTAACATGTTGAAGAAAACTGTCAGCATACAGAAGGTCTGGAAAGCAAGAACAATAGCCCGTAGAGACCAGTCTTCCTGGATCAGACATGGTTTGCCATCAATACAGGCCATGCATCCTTCCCAACAGGGATAGCATTGCAGCAAATTCCCAGAATCCACTGCTACATACTGGGAAGCACTTTGTCCTTGGGGTGGGAAAAAGAGTAGAAAAACAATGTATTAAAAATAGTTGATAACTATTACTGATCACCATTCTGAATGTTCTTCTACATTCATATTTAAGGAGAAGGCGGAACATTTGAAAAATTTTGAGTAGATATCTGCTGTCTTGGTCATTTAGATATAATGGTGTCCAGTCCAAAATGTACATATACAAAAACTTAATTCATGCTTGAATATTATTTTTATTTTTAATTTTCTCGAATTACAAGTTTAAAAGAAAAAAATATACATCCTTGTCCTGATTTTAGAGAATTTGTGGAATTTTGGCAATTTTTTAGCAAAACAAATTAAGATAGTCTCATTAGTTTATATACCATCCATACGCAGTATATGGAGTATATGGTGTATTGTACAGAGTACAATATTATTGTCCTATTACTATCCGGAGAGGACCATACCTGCCTTCCATTTAGTTTTTAAAGCAAACAGAGACAATCTCTACTATCCAGAAATTCTATCACTGCCCAAATCCAATGGCAAACTGACCAAATCTCATTCACGTATTTTGGGTCTGAACTTTTGTCTCTTAGGGAATCTCCCACTTCCATCCCAAATTCTTTCCTTGCAAATGTAAAAAATGGACCAAAAGTTCAATTTATACCCCTTGCAGTGACATTGCCAACAACACTGGATAACCTTTTGTAGCCCTTTGATCTCTCAAACATGATCTGCTCTATGTTCAAGTTAGAAATACGTTAGGAATAAAATGAATAAAGAAAACCGCATGGCAGTTCTAATTCAGCAACTAGAATCTGACCAGATGTAACGGTTGTAAAATGAGTTTTGCCCCATTTACAACCTTTCTGGCATAATTGTTAAATGAATCACTGCACTTGTTAAGTTAGTAACACAGTTGTAAAGTGAATCTGCCTTCCCTGCCTTCCCTTCCCTTTGCTTGTCGGAAAGTCACAAAAGATGATCACATGGCCCTGAGATGCTACTACTGTCATAAATACATGCCAATTGTCAAGCGTCCAAATTTTGATTAAGTAACTGTGGAGCAGTGTGAAAAATATCATAAGCCCAAATTGGTGATAAGTCAGTTTTTCAGTGATGTTGTAACTTTGAATGGTCATTAAATGAATGATTATAAGTCAATAATTATCTGTATGCCACATTGCACTTGAGTAGGTAAACTTGCTTTTTCATTTAAGTTGGGAAAGAAATAGTGCTCTGATTTTATCCCAAATGAATGTATTAGCAGAAGCAACAGAAAATCTGTAGTGTGCTCATTTGGGACAGAACTGGACAAACACTTTTTCCCAAGTTAAATTAACCTGCAGCCCTTTCTTTATTGTCAGATGTATTGGTCTTTTGAAAGATTGCTGAACATATATTTAATAACAAACTGGACGTATCTTCCAATGACCATTGAAGATCGAACAGGAAATTAATGTAGTTATAGGAAATTGAATGAGAAACAGCCCCCCAAAAAGCCCATAGAGTTGCTAACTACAATATGAAGGATACAATCTCAGAGTAATCATTATATTAAAATCTCAACATTTAAACATATTAGAAAATCATTAGGCAGCTGCTAAGGACAATAGAAATTCTGGAACAGCTAATTTGTAGTCTTAAGTTCTAATCAAACAGGTATTTAGGAATAAAAATCAATTTTCATAACTGTCTGGATTTGGAAACTGCTATGTCTGTTTTTTCATTATTTTTTTCTACCTCAAACTATTTTCCAAAATATCTCCTATAAACACCTGCCCCTTTCCTCTTAAATTTCTTTGCAAATTTATTTTTTCCAGGAAAATTCCAAAGTATATATAATTGACACAACCACATGTTTATTTCTATTTATTATGTCCTCATTTCCTCCCCATATTTTGCCATTTCCACATGATTGTCTTGTGGTCCCCTTGGGTAAATATTAATATTTTATTTTTCTAAAATGCAATATCTTAGGCCTATATAACTTATCATAGTAGCTCAAATTATTATATTATTACAAAAAGCTGTACTTTGTCACTATTTACCAGACCAGCCTTTACTGATTGAAGAAAAATGGGAGGCGGCAGTTCTGTGTCCTCCATAGAAACCTGGCTTGCAAAGACAACTATATTTTCCAAGAATAAATCCATGGTTTTCATCTGGGATGCACTGAAAAGAGAAATGCACACTTGTAAAACAGTCTTTCTCCCTACCAAACTCTCCAAAAGCAACTTGATTAAAGACAAGCTATTCAAATGCTCATGGTTTGAATGTTATGTTCTTCTGACTAGTATTCTTCCAATTTTTTTTCTTGTTCCTTCTTCAAAGATAACCTTAGAATAAACCCCCCAATTTCTGGCATCATAAGCCAGAGATTTTTAGGCTGTGTTCTGCAGAACCCTCGATTTCTGGAGAATTTGATTGGATTTCATTATTTTCCTTCTTTCCTTCCTTTCTTCCTTCCTTCCTTCCTTCCTTCCTTCCTTCCTTCCTTCCTTCCTTCCTCCTAAAAAAAATTTACTCTAGTGCAATCAAGGTATTCTGAGAATATTTTAATCGACAGTTTTAGCAACCTCTATAGCAAAAGTTTGAAAACTCTTGTTATAAGATGCTGTGCAAAGTTATAAAAATTATGATTCGATAATTTTAAATAAGCAAAGATTGCCGTTGAATGGAGAGACTCCAAGGCAAAATGTTTACAGTTTTTTCAAGGATTTGGTTGCTCTCTGAAAACTTTAATAAAGAAGCTACAACTTAAATATTTTAAACAAGTTATGTGAAGACTAAAGTATTGGAAAAGACTCTTTTAAAAGGCAATAACAAAAAAGATTGACAGAAGACAAAGTGGCTAAATATTATCAGTGACAACTTAAGCATGAACTTAAAAGACTGTGAAGAGGCAGCTTTGACAGAGAGCCTTGGTGAAATGATGTCCATTGGCGCATTGAGTCATTATGGTACAGAGTATCAGGCAAGAGGCAAAGAATCAGATACTGAACCAAAATTATTCTTTTCAAGGAAAGTGTGTGAGGAATGTCCTGTTTGACTTTGAGTAAGATTTAGGCCCTGAGAGTAACCAATGTAGAAGGAAATCATTCTCATATGTCTTATTTCCACAACATATTCAAGCTAGTCAGTCACTAATCCAGTGAAATCTCCTTACTGATGGGTTCTAGCACCACATTGTCACATTAACTGTGTCAAGAGTCATCTATCTGGAAATACAGAATTCCCACCACTTTCTCTAGGAAGCCTTAATGACTCTGAAGAACTTGTTCCAAAGAGAGTTAGCAAGACTTCATTAGCTGTGGTGATGCAGTGGTTAGAATGCAGCATTGCAGGCTAACTCTGCCCATAGGCAAGAGGTTGATCCTGACCAGCTCAAGATTGACTTGGCCTTTCATCCTTCTCAAGTCAGTAAAAAGAGAACCCAAATTGTTGGGGACAATATGCTGACATCTGTAAACTGCCCAGGAGTGCTGTAAAGCCCTATGGAGAGGTATATAAATCTAAGTGCCATTGCTATTGCCGTAGCTCCTTTCTTATTGCCAGCATGGTTGAATTTTACAGCCAATGAATTTGGGAAGTATATGACTTTGAATTCCTGAGCTGCTCCATACTCAATGCCACATGATGGCAAATTTAAATCTCCAGGCACTACTGACCTTGGAGATCCCACAGCCACCAAGGAGTTCAGGTAGGAATGTTGCTCTGTAGCAGGGAAGTCAATATAGCAACAAAAACCCAAATGATCCCTAAAGCCTGACTTCAACCAGAGGGTGTCACATCCACTTAATTGTATCACAAAGACTCTGAAGTCTTTTAAGTCTTCTCAGATAACAATGGCTATCCTCCCCACTTTTCTTAGGCTCATCATTGATGCTACATTTAAAACCCAGATGGGCACACCTCTGAGAATGGAAAACCCTTCTTTGGCATCAAGTTTCAATTATACCACTAGCTCAGCCACTTTATACAGAATGAGATTATGGATAAGGATTGCTTTGTTATAGACAAATCTGGCATTAAGTAACAGTAGCCAGAGACTGGGGCACCGAGGATCTGATAACTTGGCATTATAGGTGAATACTGGTGCCTTAAGGTAGAATTGGTTTCAAGCATTACGTTTATCTTCTGTGAAGTGAACCTACCTCATGTTCCCGCCAAATTTTTCCCTGCCCATTATAATCTGGATGCCATTCCCTTCCTTCTCTCCTGTCATCCTGTCTCCTACCAGCCCAGTATCTAACCAACCAACCAGCCGGTCAGCCAGCCAGGTAACCAATCAACCAATTACTATAATCATCAAACCGTCTATTCCAATCAAACCCTCATTCAGCAGTGACCCTTCCCCCAATGCATATAATACATGTGAACTACCCTTGTAACACAACCACTTTTCTCTGTACATATTCAACATTTCTTTCCCCAGGAATTCCTGAGTTGGCAGTTGCCACAACATAATTCTAAATACACAATTTTCCATTTCCAATTCAGGGCAAACCCAAAATTCCAATGATCCAGTTAGCACATAAGCAGATAGTCCATCAGACAAATCTTGGTATTCACTCAATGGATATTTTTTTAAAATAAACTGCACTAACAGGACCTTACCTGCAATCATGGGAAACTGGTGGCTAGGCAGCTGTAGATGTCAACCCCTGGCTGAAAAGCCCAAACAAACAAAACATCAGAGCCTTTACAAACTTCTAATGATTACTTTTATTGAGCAGAATCAAGCCGGTAGGGTCAACAGAAGCTAGCTCTAAGAAAAAGGTGGGAAGCAGTTAATTCAAAGAACAAAACTTTTCCCACCCCACATTATCCAATACATCTAGTAATTATTATGAGAACAGACTTTAGTTTCGCCAAAACAATTCTTCAGCAGCTTCAGGTCTCAAGCTCATATAGGACACCTATAGATTCAAAGCTCTCTTCCCTTCCTCCCCCCTCTATTGGCAAGTTAGAAGCACGCTGCGGTTCTAAAGGCAGTAGGGTTTGTAGCTTGATAGGTCACCCCCCCTAGGAAAGAAAACCTAGAAAATAAAAGAATACACATCAACACTTGCTAACTTTTCCCATTGAATGCCACCTTTAGAGTGGGTGCCAGTGCTGGTGCCGGCTTGAGGCCATTACACTCATGCCCTGTGGTCTGGGTACTCTCTGGCTGTGCTCCATACCTATGCCTCAGTGGGGGTTACCAACCCACTCCCTCAAACTACGAAGCAGGTGCTGGTGGCGGGCTGTAGGTTCTCCATCCCAGACTGGGTCCTGGCAGGGAAGGTAGCCCAGATAGCAGGCTAACTGTCCCCCATCATTGCAGCTGCCGCTCCTACCAAGTGCTGGGGTGAAAGGATTGGCCTCAGAGTTGGGGCTGAACTCCTTGGGGTCTGTGGGACTGACTCTCCTCCAGGCTGCTGAACTGAATGGCTGCTGCTGCATTTTGGCAAGTAGCGCTCCCTGGGCGCAAATCCATCCGAGGCTTCACATTTCCACCATTCCATCCCCTTGGCTCCTTTGGGCTGGAGACAGTACAATTGGAACTCCGCTCCAATAGCTCTCTGCAACTCTTCTCTCCGCCTCTCTAACTCGGGCCAGTTGAACTCTGCCACCCCCCAATCCGCTCTGGGTTAGCTTCCTCCATTCAACTCACTGCTTGGGTAGGGTCGAGGCTAGTGGGCTTACGAAGCCGCCTTCAGCTCCAGCTGGAGTTCCACTGATCGATCCTGAGCCAGCTTCAGCCAGCTGCTCCATTTCAGGCCTCTTCTCCTGAGTCTTCACCACCCCTCTGGAGGCTCTCAGCAGGATGTAGGGGCCCAAGACCCCTCAACGGAATTTAATTTGTTTAGACAGCTAGTTTAGTGTCAACCCCTGGCTGAAAAGCCCAACCAAGCAAAACATGATTACTTTTATTGAGCAGGGTCAACAAGAAGCTAGTTCTAAGGAAATGGTGGGAAGTTAATTAAAAGAACAAAACTTTTCCCAGCCCTCTCTGACAGTACAGGTCACATTGTCCAATAGATCTTCTAGTAATGATTATGAGAACAGACTTTAGTTTCACCAAAACAATTCTTCAGCAGCTTCAGATCTCATGCTCATATAGGGCACCTGTAGATTTAAAGCTTTCTTCCCTTCTTCCCCCCTCTGTTGGCAAGTTAGAAGCACACTGTAGTTCTAAACACAGTAGAGTTTGTAGCTTGACAGTAGAGTTAGATGGGTTCAATATTTTCACTTCACCTGACTTTACTCTTATCTTCCAGCAATTTACCGCATTGCTATAATAAGATGTCTCCTGCCAGAGAACATTCCAGTTATCAGCCATCCTGCCCCAATAGCTTCTCCTAGCCCACTGAGAACCTCAAATGGTATCTTCTCTGCTGCCAGACCAAGATGATAATGTCCATCTCAAAACATCATCCAGCTTAAGGGTTCATCTCCATACAATGAGCAGACTGCATTCTCCTTCTTGGCACTTCTCCATGGTGTCCAGTCTGTCCTTGTGTTCAACATCAACTCCTGCCTGGAACACATTCCAACCTCTAGATTCCCTTCAACTTTTTATATAACTGTTCCAACAAACCTCACACCAACAACAAGTATGCCCATTGGTAACAAACCCCAACTACCATGCACTGGTAACAAACAGATTTCCTTGTTGTCTTGCCAGTGATCACACCCTTTGATAAAAAAAATTACTTCATCGTTGATAAAGGAAAGCAAATTATGCCCATGTAGCCAAAGAGTGCATCACTCTTGATAGCAAGTGGTCCTCTTTTGTGTATTGCAAATATTCTGTGGCAAAAATAGATCATCACTGTTGTGTCCTGGGCCTGATGAGGCAACTCAGCAGGCCCAGAAAAATTGCAAATAGTCCCAGGCAACCTAAAAGCTGCCCGGGACCAGACTGGCTGGTGCCGGACTTATGCACATGCGCAAGGCGTGAAGAAAGAGGGTTCCCTATTGGCTGGACTGCCTGGGGGTTGGAAGACTATAAAAGGCCTGTGTGCCTGTTTGCAGTGTTGAGTGAAGTAAGGAGCAATAAAAGAAGTTTGGTTACAACATGTGTCATGCTTCAATGCCTCGAACCCCGAAACACAAAAATCACCATGTGTCTTTATAAAAGATGCTCTCCTTTTTAAAAAAAAGTGTCAAAGAGTAGGCCTCAGTTA